TTTTATATCATATAAAATAAGCTTCAATTTGATATATGTTTAAGGACGCAGTATTTCCGGAACATTTTCAAAAATTATGTTGAAAATGTTAGTTTTTGTAAAAAAGTTGCTATTTTAAATCCCCCCCCATGAGGAGGTTAAGTGTTAAATTTTCAAAAAAATGATATCAAACGAAAGGGAAATGTCTAAGGTTTTAGTATAAAAAAAAATTATGTTGATTTGTTTATTTTTCAAAAAGTTATGGAAGTCTTAAGAAAAAAAAGTAAAAAAAATGACGAAATTTACCGATTTTTAAATTTGTAATTTTTTTGGATATTTCCCCCATTTGCGGGGATGAGTGAAAATTTTTCAATTTTTAAGGATAATGTCTTCAACTAGATACGATTTGTGATCTTTTGACGTATTGTTGAAAGAAATCGGTCCAGTGAGAGATGAGAAAAAGTGGCAACAGACAAAAATAAATAAATACATCTTAGTAAAACCAATATCTTCTCAGCTTCGCATCGAAGCTAAAAAGGTTAAAAGTTCAACATTTTTAAATTATAAACTGACACGGCACCGCCTTTTTCTCTAGGCTGGTGCTCACCCATGTCTCTCTCGATATCAGCCGTCCAGCTATTAATATGACAATTGGTTGTCTCCCCGCCCTTAACACCGAGATAAGGCTGCCGCCGAATAATAATATTTATATACCTCTTTCATTCGATTTTTTTAAATCGGACTATATCCCATAATACAGGAGAGATTCATAACTTAAAAATGCAAATAGAAAGTAGAACTTTTTCAACTTAATTCTTGAAAGTGTTTCGGAAATACTGAAACTTTTATATATATCTTAAATTAAAGCTGATGTAATGTACTTTATTATAGAAAAAAAATATTTAGACTTTATTTTGTGTTCATGGTGAAAACGGTCATCAAAGTTAATAAAAAAATACGATTTTTGTTGAAAATTTCTTTTTCATATTTTTGACTTTATAACGCTATAATTTTTTGAAAAATGTATAGATCAATACAATTTTTTTATGAGAAATAATATTTATATACCTCTTTCATTCGACATATTTTCCCTTTATATATTCATATAATACACTTATAAATCATAAAACTTAATCAAAATATAAATAAGGAAATAGTTGATCATGTAGTTTTTGGAATAATCCACCAATTTTTTAAAATTAAAAACTATCTACAGATTTGCTTCGAAGCGTTTTTTATGATAGTGATTTTAATCACTATCAGATATCATTTATACTGGACCCAACTATGCTACGATCCTACTTTGCCACGACACCACTGTTCTGGTTCTATTTTTATTAGATGTATAAACATTACGTCAATAAAACATTTTAAATAAAAAACCTAAAATATATATATTTTATCAGTGATAGAAGTAGTCATTACTCAGGCTTTACCCTCAGTCTATATTTTATTTCTATTCATCCATTTTTCGAAAAGTTATGGTAGTTTATAGTAAAAAAAGTTGAAATAATATCGAAAATTACTGTTTTTTTATAATAGTTTAAAATTAGTGATCTTTAGACATATCTTTGAAAGAAATCGATTCGGTAAGAGCTGAAAAATATCAGTAACAGACACAAAAAAAACATAGTAAAATTAATACCTTCTCAGCTTTGCATCGAAGCTAAAAGGAATCAATTTCATTATTTTGTCCTTAATATAGCATTTAATAAAGAAAATTATACATATATATAATCTACTAAAAAGTTCATATTTCAGTTTGGACTTATAATCTTTTATCTGCAAACCTTGTATTTTTACCTTGAAAATATATTCTTACTATGACATGCTAGTCGATTACATGTAATTATTAAAGCTTGTATATTGAGTTAGCTACTCAAAAATAAGAGAAATTTAATTGAAATATACTTTTCTGTTTATAATTCTTATAATTAAACTATAGTATACCACGTGATTTTAAGATCTATACATAGATCATAGTAAAATTAATAAGTCGTATAGTTAGATAGCCTTTAGCTGCCACAGAGTTCACATGTCTTGTGTTTCGCTACCGTTATTTTTATGCTATAACTTTACGTTAAATTTATCATTTTATACAAATAAGTTTTGTTTAAAATATTTAAATCAACGAATCTAAGATATAAGAAAAATATTAACATCATAGTGATCCTTTGGGATCCAGGTAAGAATTTAATATTTCACTACTTGCCTCAAAATGAGTAATAGTAATCGTAGTCCGCCAACGACGCCGTTGTCTAAAATTAGTAACGTTCCGATAACTCCGATAACTATTGTAAATAGTTCTCAAATAATCAGCAATTCAAAAGACAAACAAAAAACCACTACTATCGAATCCGATGACGACTGGATAACCGTTTTATCATCTAATAAAAGACCACATACAAATTCACCCGGATCCTCTCCAATAGCAAAACACAGTGGTGCTTCCAATAATAATATCAGAGTACTAAACCGGTTCACACCTCTTCAAACAAGTTCAGATAACATGGAAACAGTACCAACAAATCAACTCACCCCGCATAAACCACCGCCTATATTCATCAAATCTGATTTAAACTACGTTAACTTTTGCGAGGCTATTAAAAAAATTATTGATATCGATGAGTTTACTTGTAAAAGTAACGCATCTGGTTTAAAACTTCAAATAAAAACCCCTGACTCATATAGAAAAATTGTACGAGTACTTTTACAAAAAATGTTGATTTCCATACATATCAAGTCAAACAAGACAAAGCATTTCGCGTTATACTAAAAAATTTGCACTTCCTTCCTGTCAAGCCATTTAGTCCTAGAGAAATTGAAGCAACTATCAAAAAACTACCAAAAGGAAAAGCTCCTGGGTATGATCTCATCACAAATAAAGTGCTAACAAACTTATCAAGAAATGATTTTCTCTTTCTTACATACATATATAATAGTATGATGCGACTTTCTTATTTCCCATCAATTTGGAAAATAACTGTAATAGTTCTTATACCTAAACCAGGAAAACCAAAAAATATGACAATGTCATATAGACCGATCAGCTTATTACCTACACTAAGCAAACTGTTTGAAAAACTTCTGCTGAAAAGGATCAGGCCAATATTGCAAGAGCATCACATTTTACCAAACACTCAGTTTGGATTTCTTGAGAGACACTCTACTATACATCAAGTTCATAGGCTGACTGATACAATAGCTTCAGCGTTAGAAAACCGCAAATACTGTACTGGACTATTCCTCGACGTAGCCCAGACCTTTGATAGAGTGTGGCATGACGGACTGCTTTTCAAATTAAAACACATATTTCCAGCACCTTTATATTTAATAATTAAGTCCTAACTTTGTGAAAGGAAGTTAACAGTAAGACAAGGTTGTGCAAATTCTCCTTTTTACAAAATTCAAGCAGGCGTCCCCCAAGGAAGCAACCTGTCTCCCGATCTTTACAATATATTTACTGCAGACCTACCCCAGACTACTGATACTCTTATCGCTACGTTTGCTGACGTTACGGCTATACTTTCTACTCATAGTAATATTTCTCAAGTAACCCACCACCTTCAAACGCATTTAAACATTAGGAAGTCATGGTTCAAGAACTGGAAAATAAAAATTAATGAAAATAAATCAAGTCATATAACATTTAACAACATATTAATTAATAACCAAAACGAAACCAAATACCTAGGTAAAATATTGGACAAAAGATTAATTTGGGGACTTCACCTTAAAGAAAAAAGCCAACAGCAGACTCCATCTCTTTCGTCAACTACTCAAATCCAAATTACCGCTTAAAACAAAAATACTCATTTATCAGTCATTAATCAGACCAGTCTGGTCTTATGGCATCCAGATATGGGGACCAGCCAAGCCATCAAATATTCGACCAATACAAGCTTTCCAAAATATAGTATTAAGAATGATAACTGGCGCGCCCTGGTATGTAACAAACAACAACTTACACAAAGAACTTAACATCAAATCAATCAAAGAACTCGCTACTTTACACTACACTAGATTCCACTCAAAACTTAACACAAACCCTTTAATTAAAAAAATGCATACTTTTACAATACCTGATAACCAATCACGTCGACTCAAACGAAACTGAAACCGTGACCTTTTAACTTAACAAAACAACGCCAACAATATAATCTTAACAAAAGTATAACTTAAATGATCTAATTAAGGTGTTACCATTAGGGACTTCCTTTAATGTTATTAATGTCATTATTTAAAGTGTCAAAAAAAAAAACTTATTGTAAATTTAAATTGTACAGATTGTTTTTCTAATAAAAAAAAAAAAAAAGTCTTATAGTTAAACTATAGTATACTGCTTGATTGTAAGATCTATACATAGATCATAGTAAAATTAAAAACTTCTCACTTCTTATGGAAGTTAAAATGTTCGGTGTGCAAAAAAAACGCTTATATTGGTTTTATAGAGAAAATATAAGAAATCAAAAATTTGATTAAAAAGTAAAATGTATTTTATGTTAAAATAAGCAACTTTATAATTTTATTAATAAATATAAAACATTAACATTTTAATATTTAAATTCCAACGATAATTAAATATTTTCTTACCTACATTTTTTAAGACAAAAAAAGTATGATAAATAAATAATAATTATTTTAACAATAATTGCTAAAAACCTATCCATATAAGCGTGGAGTAAAGTTTAAATATATAAAAAGATTTTTTTACAAAGTGAAATAGCACGAGATTGCCACCTCAAAGTTTAGTCGTGAATACATGCAAGTGTACACTAACACACAAACGACGTATACAGCACTGAAAAAATAATATATATTTCTATTTGATTATTCAAACTTAACTCTTTAAAACTCCCCATGGATAATTTTTAAATTTATGTGTTAACCAATATAATGTAATAAGTTATGGCAATAACATTTCATTTGGAACACTTTTTTATATTTTTATTAATTTTTGAAAAAAATTATATGACGTGCAATTTTAATCACCCTATATTCAAGATATCAATATTTTATAGATCTCATAAACGTAAGAATTTTCAAGATTCTGAAATTTTTGGTTAGTGAAGACAAGTTTGGCGATACCAAAAGCGTAAATTCACATATTAATTAATTTAATACCCTTTTTATCTAAATCATTTAATAAATTATTTTGAATTCTTTAGGTAGAAAACCTGAATATAAATGAGGTTGAAATAATTTCAAATAAATTTTGTAATCTTGACACAGACAACAATTGTTTTATAAATAAGGAAGGATACAATACTTTGATTGATTTTGTTGGCGAATGTGCTCTTACTGGAAGTGTAAATGTAAGTTTATTTAAAAATATTCAAAATTATTTACATACGAGATACATCGCCCAAGATTTTTTCTCTCTAATGCAAAAATAATAAAGCTCAGAATGATTTGAAAAAATAATTAATAAAATAATAGAAAAGTATTCACATGAATTATAACCAAAAAATTCAGTGTCCCTCATTATAATTATATATGTATTTTGTTTCTCGATTTTTATTAACCTTCACTACCAGAAAGTTAAAGTTGTGTCAATTTTTCTAAATTACCAATTTAGTCAACTTTACCCAAATTATGATAAAAAAAAAATTAAGGGATCATATAAATTTATTTATTCTATGGATATTTTTATACAAACTTAAGAATTCGTATTTTTTTATTTATAAATCATTTAATAATGGGATGCGTATTTTAATAAATGTTATATATAATATATATATAAATATATATAATGACCTATTTTGGACCAAAAACGATCCGATCTCTTATGAATTAAAATAATTTGGGTCCTGCCTCTGTTATATCAAATGATTAAATATATTCCTTTTTGTTTTAATTAATAATTAAATAGAAATCGGATTTTCTTAAATTTGTAAGTATTTTTAGCAGTCACAGTTTATGCATATAAACAAATATATCATTAAGAAATGATTATATTAGTTAAAAACTATTGCAAATATTTAACCGTCTTTATTAATTTTTTCGAGTTCAAAATAAAAAATATAAAATAACTTATTTTAAATTAACTTTTTTTGATAAAAACCGTGTAAAAACAAAAGAGAGTTCACACTCTTTTCTTTTAAATTTGTTCGAAATTTTTCAACGTGACGCCCAGCTGTAAAAATTACTATTTACTTGACGTAATAGTCGCTAGTATGTTCAGAGTCATATAGATTTGCTAATAGGCTCAAGAATATTATTCACGTTGCTCGTGGGAGAACACGTTACATTATTGGACTCTATTATGTTGCAATTTACGGTGTTTGGCTGGGTAATTGCCGGAAACGTAAACAATAATGAAAATACAGAAACGAATATTCAGTGTTTGACCGCAATTACACAGCCAGACGTGATTTTGCGTAAGTTCTGGGAGCTTGAAGAACATAATGACATGGCGATACAAGACTCAAAAATAACAGCGTGTAACAAAATTTATAGAGAAACAACACGGCGAGACACAAACAGACGGTACATAGTAAATTTACCGCTACGCGATGAAATCCTGAAAGGTCTCGGTGACACGAAAATAATGGCACTTTGTCGATTCTATGCATTAGAAAATCCTGAGACTTAGGTCAAGAGACTCAACCGATAAAACGGAAATTACCAGAACATACTTGCCACATCATTGTGTGATTAAGGCAGAGAGTACCACCACCAAACTGCGCATGGTTTTTGATGCATCATCGAAAAGCACAACGGAAATCACACTAAATCAATCAATGATGGTCTCAATTCAAGAGGATCTCTTCAATATTTTAGTTAGATTCCAGCTGCACTGCTATGTTCTAACAGGGGACATAGAAAAAAATATATAGACAAGTTAAAATATGCAAACCGCACCAGTAGTTACAAAAAATTATATAGCGTGATTGACCCACCGAGACATTAAAAACATACGTTTTGGCTACCGTAACATTCGGTACAGCGGTTGCGCTTTACCTGACTGTTGGAACTATGCATCAGCTTGCCGAAGATGAAGGTGATAAGTTACCAATCGTTTCCCAAGCAATAAAACGTGACTTTTATGTTGACAATTTATTATCCGGAGCAGACACACTATCAGAAGTCAGACTACTGCAACGTGATGTTAGTACATTATGCGAAAGACGCGGTTTTTAACAATGAAATTGGTGTAGAAATCCACTAGCTTGTTGAGTCATTTACCAGAAAATCAAAAGAACACCATCCATGAGTTGAACTTTTCGGATAGTCTAGTCACTAAGGTATTTGAGATGAATTGGATACCAGTGACAGATAGTTTACACTATAAGGACACGAAATGGAAACCACACCACACCACGTTGCGAATTAGCTCTTGATTAATTTCGGGCTGATTCGCAACGTGGTGGTGTGAATTATTAAGACGGCGTGGTCCGCCCTGAAGTAATGCCTCGCGGGAGTTCTAGGGTAACCCACAATAATGCCGGTCGAATAAAAAAAAGGATCTCCTCTAGCCGCTACGTAGCAGTTTACACCTCCTTGTGCACACCCATTCCTCGTCGTTTGTCAATTACACCTCGAAACACGGACACTTGTTCGCCTATGCTTTTGACCATAGCCAACGTGGCGGTCACCTCGTCCGCCGGATCGTGCCACCTCTTACGACAGGGCCGCACAACTCGGTGAGGGCCTGACATGAGAGGGAGATTTGTTCGATGAGGTATTCCAGGTGGGTACCAGGAACCTTCATCAGACTCCCCTCGACCTCCGCAGTTCTAGCGAGGGCAACGACGTAGTTGAGGCCGACGTCAAATGTGGCCTCGTCGTCGCTCTCGTCTTTTTCCCCTAAAGACGCCCTCCTCTTACCAGGATATCGCAGTGGGGGAGAATTCTCCGGCAACGGGCTTAGTACCGGCGAGTCTACCCGATGGTGGGTAGATGTGCCTTCTCCAAGGGACAGCTTCGCCCTTCCACCATCTGATTGGTCGCCCGTCCGCAACGCCTCGTCCTCGTCTTCTATCACAGCGGCATCGGGAGACGACGATTCCTGCTTCTCGTGCGTCTCACTATCAAAGCGTTCTATGTAGGCCATGAAGTCTACGGCTTGTTGAAGCCCGCGCCCCATGCTTCTCAACACCCCGCTGTCATTGTAGCGGGATAAGAGCTCCGAGGCGACGAGCCGAGCCACGCCTATAAGGCGTTCCGCTGTGGCTTCCCCTCGGCGGCTGGATATGCATTTGTCGATGAGTTCAGCTCTCTGGCTGGGCTCATCAACACCCTCTAAAGGGTCATACTCCTTTACCCTTTCCGGGGCAAATGGACGCCCGTCGTCCAGATCCCTCTGCATCATCCCTAATACAGTGGACACTGAACTCCGGAACGCCTCAGCCGTCCGGAACTGGCCACACGGAAATCAATCCGTTGTCGATTCCACAACCTCCATACAATGGAGCCAGCGACCCATCGGGTAAACTCCGATTGGGTCAGCGGCATATCGTCGCGGAAGCGATCACGTACGCCTTCCCAATTGTCCACTATCTCCTCGGTGATAGTAAAACCACCAGCAATTACCTCAAAGACCCGAAGGTCACTGGAGGGTGCCTGCTTGGCACACTCTCCGACAGTAGCTTGGGCGCCCCCTGGACCCTGCCACACCAGTCCCACGGTTTCGATGCAGTCGCTGGATAACGACCGGGTCAAGCCTGCAACTACACTCTTCCTTGCCGGCCCTGGAGTCTCCGAAATTCCTGGAGCGGTAACTGTGTTTTTATTATGGTGTCCTTCCATATTTGGTTTTACAGGTGTGCTTCCCTGCGTTTTACCTACCGCCAGGGGATTTGTTTTCGGTGTTACCTTCACCTAGGTGGTCGCCTTACCAGGTTATCGGGCCCACCCACCCGTTATGAAATTACCCTCGATCGCTACCGCTTATTCGTCCACTCTAGGAGTGGCTTATATCACGGCTACCCTGCATATCTGTAGGGTTAACGAGCGAACGAGGAGCTTATTGTCCGCGACCACTTATTCGTCAATCCAAATGAATTGACTGCTTATTTCGTGGCTAACCTGCATATCTGCAGGTCGTTTCTCTATCCGCAACCTGAGGACGCGCTCGTGCCAACGTTTCGTAGCCCCGTAGAGCCCGATCACACCGACACCATAGCACAGCGAAATGGGTCATTTCCAGAACCCAACTATGGGTTACTATGCGGAATACCCCTTGACGAAAAAAATCTTCAGATTTCGTTTCCGCTGTAAAATATACAAATGATATATTGAGTTCATTTCGAAAAATGCGGGAAACTGCTAGCGACACTTTTAGAGGAATTTTTCAAGCAACGTCGAAATTTTCAGCGGACCTTTTTGACGCTGAACTTCAAGCTCTAAGAGTTGCATCACGACAGAAATCTCGTATAAATATACAAACGACATCGAATGAAGATTATTTCAGAGTCACCACATTTATTCCTTGTATCGATGTTTTGATACAAAATTTGACAGATAGATTTATCAAGAATGAAGATATTCTCTTAAGTTTTCAACTACTACTTCCAGGATATGCTTCAGAGAAAAAAATGGATAAACTGGAAAAATTAGGTTCATACTTTGAAGACGAAATGTCATTGACCGCAGTTCAAGCTGAGTACAAGTTATGGTGTGCCAAAATGTCATCAATTGACCCATCGACTGAAATTTTGAAACTGTTGGAATATTGTGACAGAACATTTTTTTGCGCGATAAATCTTCTTCTCAAGGTATTGGCTACTATTCCAGTCACAACGGCTAGCGTAGAAAGATCGTTTTCCACAATGAAGAGGACAAAAACTTTACCTCGTAGTGTGATGGGTCATGATAGACTAAGTGCACTCGCGATGATGACAATTCACTGGGTTACTATTATTGATCCAGAAGAAGTGCTCAACCGCTTAGCAAACAAAAAAACAAGAAAATTACTTTTATAAGGTGTATATTTTTTGTAAAAATTCTTTCAAATATAGTTGAAGTTATTTATACACTTTGTACTGCGTTTTTTTATTTCCCTCCAATTAATAATAAATTAAACGTCATATAGGTATTTTTTTTTTTTTTTTTCGGCGAAGAATTCCTAATTATGATTCTGGAACTTGAGCTCCCCCTCGAAACCAATTTCTGGATACGGGTCTGCTCAAGCAGTTAGGTTTTAACGACATTTGATATATTTTACACAAGGTAGAGCATCACACTCTATTTATGATATTTTATGATTACAGTTCATTCAAAAATTCATCACAGATAATACTGCTTTATCATTTATTAATATTTGGGGAAAATTTTTTTTTAATACCTTAGATATTTTCTTTTTATATCCTATGACCATTGACGTCTTCTCAGTAGCTCTTTTGTTTTTTACCGTATAGCTTCTGCATTGGACTTGATATGACTAGCCACCTCAGTAGATTCGAAAACCAAGCACCTTTTATCGAGAAAATCTCCGAGCTCACTTACTGCTGGTGGCTCGTTGTCAATCAATGTACATTCCCATTCACGCAGAGTATTTGCATGTATTTTGCTAGTTACTAAATGAACTAGGACGGCGTCCCACTTGTCCATTGGCTGTCCCAATGATAACAATGAATGATTGTGACTATTTAAGTTGTTGACTAATTCTCGAAGACCCCTTGTAGTTTCCGTCTTCTACTTTGGCAACTTGAATAACTCCGCCACGTGAGTGCCTATAATCTGGAACCCCTACCAAATTTGCCATATTCGTAAATTGGAAAATTTACAACGTCAATTTTTAAAATTTGTAATATTTTAGTTGAGATTAAGCACTTTAGTTGAGGATCTACAATCTAAATTAAATTTACAATCTCTTGAATCGAGACGAAAATTTAATGATGTTTCTTTCATATTTAAATTATTAAATAATAAAATTAATTGCCCTGAAATTCTTGGAAAAATAAATTGGTATGTTCCTACTATCAATACACGCTCTACGACTACTTTTTATGAGTCATTTCACTCACAATTATACAGCTACAATGAGCCTGTAAGTAGAATGATAAGAGAATGTAACAACATAGCATTTGATTTTAATTTTGGTGATGAATCTAGACTTCAGTTTTTGTATTTGAATACTTGTTAATATTTATCAATGTATATATTTTTTATATGTCAAAATTTTTTTTTTTTTTTACTATGTATTGTTATCTTAATTATTTTGTGTAATTCTATATTTTAAAAAATGTGCACAATCTGTTGCCCGATAAGGGCGTTAATAATAATAAATAAATAAATAAAAAGATATTATTAAGTGAAAATAATCAATTCTATATCTAATTTTGCACTTATCTAATGCTAATGATAATTTCGGAGTTAAATTTCATTCCGAGCTCTCTTAGTATTTGATGATCAAAGAATTTTTGTTGTTAGCAAATAAATTAGTCAGTATTTTCACGTTTTGACTTAGTAATTGAGTCATCAGAGAGTTAACGATTTTTGGCAAAAGTAAGTTATATTATTTATACATAAAAAGAGTTGTTTGCATCATGTTATAAATAGATTTTGTTTGCCTAAGCTTTGAAAATACCAAATACCACTACAAAAAAAAAAAAAAAGAAGATAATTTTGAAGTTTTAACGCCAATCTTTACGTCTACTATGGAACACACTAAACATTGAGCTATTGTACTTGATTACTTTAAATTACAAAAATGATCATAGTAGATATCCAAAACTAGTATAAAATTCTACATTTGTAAATAATTTATTAATAAAATTAAATCTCATTTTAAAATATACTTAAATTGCATACATGTGACATTGACGGAGACTTTCAAAATATTGATGTGTTTTCTCTTCATTTTCTAATCCAATTTATCTTCTTTCTTTTAGAGTTGTAAGCGTTTTATCAACTCCTATCATGGAACTTACACGTTCTTCTTTTCTTTTTATTTAGTAAAAAATTGCTCGTCTTCTTCAACTTTTTTGATACTCAAAAGATTCTGATGTGCAATGTCAAAAAGATAATAGATTTTTGTAATACATTCAAATTCTTTTTGTCAATATTTTTAATTTTTATTTTTCAAATAAGTTCACTAATTTTCATAAATACTTTGTAACTTTTACATGTATGTATTGTCCTTGTTAGAATTATTACTTTTTTTTCCAAAAAATTATGTACTCCTGTATAACAAGAGTAGCACTGCCATTGAGACTAATATTTGAGATTCGCATATTATAAAATAAGACTCGTATTTAATCAACTATCGATGGAAGTTTACAATAAGTTGAAAGTTACATGGAAATGACTAATATTAAAACGAACAATACCTGTGTCTCAATTCCTGTCATCGCTTTAAAATGTTAATAACTTCCAAAAACACAAAAGTACAACGAGACCTATTTTAAGTAAATTAAAAATAAAATAAAAAAAAATTCTATAAAAAAATTTCCCAAGTAAAATTTTTACGAATATAAGCAAAATATGAATAAATTTGATTTTATGACAAATTTTGAGTTTAAAGCGCCACGTCTTAATGAAGCCCAATAGTTAAAATGTTGGAGATAATTTATTTACATTCAACTGAAAAAAATTTTCGCGGCGCTCATTAAAATTTAGAAATTGAAAAATAAAGCTCACCCTAAAACTCTAATTGTTAAATACCCATTTCTACTTAACCGTATTACAATAAAATATTTTGTATACTTTAGATAAAAACACTGGACGACAAAAACATTGAAAATCTCAGAGAGTATGTGATTGATTTGAAGAAAACTTGTAATTATTTAACAAATTATTATAAAAAATCTATTTTGTTTCTTATATAATGTTGTATTTTTTAGTACAATCACAATACAACTTAAGTGATGTTATGTTATATGTATTACTATTAAAGGCAAATTTTAATAAAACAGATTCTGGTATACTTGAAACATTGAATCATTTCGAGAATATATTTTATTCTATCTCAATGGATTATAGTGTAAACGAGATAGATATACAATATCATATGAATTAGATGGATCATATACGTGATAAAATATTATTTTGTTTAAATATACTAACACTCATGTTTTTTAGCTATAACTTCAAATCTTCTAAAATTATAAAAAGTTGTAATCCCTATATCCAGTCGAAACACGGACACTTGTTC